CCCCAAAACCCCAAAACCCCAAAACCCCAAAACCCCATTTAAGTGGCAAAGTATTGGACAATTCATAATGATTTTAAATTTAATATTCACTTTCTTTCTGACCACAGCACTCTGCTTCACAAGCACAGCAAATCTGGGGAGCCCAGGAAGTTATGCAGCTGATGCCACTTTGACAGAAACTTCTACTGATGTGTACTCGCTTGACTTGAAGTTCACGTTCCCTTCGACTATCATGGACGGTGGTAGGTAGGTTTGTTAGCATGCTGTGAATCAACACAGCACAATCCGATTACACTCTTACTAGTGATACAAGTTCATTAGAGACGTTTGGATATTCAATTCGCTGAGCATCTACCTGAACATCATTATCATCCATCATTTGGAGTGGATACTACAGTGGAACAGCAGATTATACCAATTCTGACGGCAGATTTGATACAACAGGAGGGACAAGCTACAAAAGTTCACTAGCAAAAACTAATACTTCTGATGATACTACAGATCCTTCTGTTCCAACAATGACTTTTCATTATGCTAGTATTTCTAAAGCGGCCTTAGCTACTGATTATAAACTACCAAACAAAGATGAGACCTACTATTACAAATGTTTCTGTGACTTCAGCATGGGGATACCTCCAAATGGATTGGTTTTCTCAGATGTAGGAACTGGACTATCTACATCTAATAATTCAGTGACTAATGCTTTATTAGGTTTAATTCCAACTCCTCCAGTTACTCCTCCAGTTACTCCTCCAGTTACTCCTCCATCTACTCCTCCAACTACACCGACCACTCCCTCTTCAGGCGGAACCTCTACCTCTGATCAGACAACTGAAGAAGAAAAGGATATGAGGAAGACAGCTGAAGTGTTTACCTTAGTTGCTCTTGCAATCGTAGCCATACTTGCTGTAATAGGAGCTTTAGTAAAAGGTATCCCACTGACTTCCCTTTGGATGGTTATAGACCAAATTCAAATGATTATTCTTGTCTTGCTTGTTAATAATAGCACAACTTTGGAATTTGAAAAATTCCTTCACGGAGTTGGATTCATCATGGCTAATTTTAACTTTATGAAAATCCAAGAGATCCCTTATGTAGAAGAGCTCACTGAGTGGCTAGACTACGGAATTGTTTCGAAGAAGTTAGACAATGTTGGAATAAAGTCTCAAAGCCATCTTTTTAACAATTTTTCTCTAGCTACCATTTTATCGGTTATCGCTCTAATTCATATTATTTTCAAAGTATCGGTTTGCTTTAAAGACGATAATCATTCAAATGCATTGATGAAGTATGGAACAATCCTCAGAACTAAGGGAAGTAACTTTATTTCAAATTCTGTGTACATGAGATTCATTATGCTTACTTTCATGACTGTTATCTTTGCTGCTGTCATCTCTATCAGAGAATTTAAATTTTCAAAAACAGAGATGGTATTATCTCATGTATCAGCCTGGATGCTCTTGATAGCTTCTGCAGGTTTTATCGGTGCGCTCTTCTTTCTATATTACTTCACAAGAACGGACTTCGATCCTAATCAAAAGAATTTTGTGAAGGAGATCTTTTCAGGGCTAAGAGATACTAAAACTTCGAGATTACTGCCATTTGTGTCAACACTAAGAAAACTTCTGAATATCGTTGCAGTAGTCTTCATTGCAATGGAAGGTGAACGCACATATGCACTAGTGTTATTAATGAGCATTCAGGTGGTCTATCTCGCATTCATGGTAAGTATTCATAAATTACTAAGCTTTAGGTCCTTGTTAGGCCATTTTTTTTAGTCTTTAATAATTGTTTGAAAATAACATTGGAATCCTTCCAGTTCATTATTATGGTGTATATGGCTGGCATGGAGAGTGAGTCAGATTGGCCTAAAGGAGCAATCAAAGGATTAATGGCAATTCTTATTATCAATGCAGTAGCCATTATGAGCATTGTAACATGTAAATCGCTGTGCTCATATATAGGATTCACCGTTTTGCATGTAATTGGATTATTTAGTCAGGGTTCAGCAGGAAATAATATTAATGGAAGATCGCAAAATGAAGTAAGAGTGCTTTCGATAAATTTTAGACTGTTAGAAAGATCAGGACATCAACAAGAGGAGGAAACATAATTGCCAGAGATGTCGAAGATATTGGTCCCGGAGATATCAAGAGCATCTAAGAAACGACTTCATGAAAAATTCAAATAATCTTGATTAAAAATTCAAAATTCCTAAACTTGTCTTTCTCTTTATAAAATTGATTCGCTAATTGGGGTTATCTAAGCTTATCGGGAATCAGGGGTTCCTTCATTAATTTATCGGCGCAGATCCTTTCTGTAAAATCCCTGTTATATTTTTACAGAAACTTAGCCAACATGGAAAAAATGTGAATTAGCAAATACGAAGAATTAAGAGAGGGCTGAGATCATTTTTATTTAATTAGATAGTACACTTGAAAAAAGGGACGGTATAAGAAACATTATGAAAGATTTTAGGCGATTTTTTCTATTTTTTGAATTTGATCTGAAATCTTTAAATGTTCAAACAGTTAAGACATTTGATGAAGAATTAGGTGAGGTAGCAGTTGCTTTTTGTCTAAACTGGGTAAGCCAAAGATGGATACAAAGTTCTTTCTGCAATTTTGATCTCCTTAAAAGCCTTGGAGCTTCTTTGCTTCTTATAAATATGTGGTATGAGTCATTATAAAGATCATACTGAGTTATGTTTTTAAATTTCTTTAAAGATAAGTAAAAACTCTAAAATTCTCCAAAAATTCCCCTTTACTCCAAGACTTCATCATCTAATATTTAACACTACAACAAATCCCCCATTTTCATCAGTAAACCTCGGCTATAAGTTATTTAACATCACCAGCTCTTTTAAACATCAAAAATCTATACATCTGCTATTCTCAGCAAATACTAAAACTTCAAATTTCTTATCTTAACTTCTACCGTTCTCTTCAATCCTATTCCAAATTTCTTAAGTGCAACACTCCCCAGAGAACATCCTAGGAGTAGCTCCAAGCAGGAAGGAAGTCCTAAAGTCTTATCTTGACCTGATCTCTCCTGCTGAACTACAGTCGCTCTTGAGGAGCTGTTCTTCCTTTAAGAATTCACCAAGCGAACCCACAGGTTTAGAATAAGAACAGAGCTCATTTAGGAACGCTTAAGGCAGAAAGGGAAAATTTGTGTTCTAAGCTGACTGGGAGGTCAGTGGGGTGTAAGTAGAGACCTTGGTGTATAGGGAGGATAAGGCTGAAGGTTTAGTAGAAGAGGGGATACGTGAGATAAGAGGGTTTAGGAATATGTGCAAGAGAGATTATTTAGATGAAATTAGGTTCAAATTGGGTGATCGTGTTTGGGGTTTTGGGGTTTTGGGGTTTTGGGGTTTTGGGG